GGTTTAGGGTTTAGGGCCCCGAGAAGCTTCAGGTGATCTTCACCACGGAGCCCCTTTGGGCAGCAATCTTCGCTGTTTGGCTGCCCCTCGGATGCCTCGGAAGTCTTGTTTTAGAGCTCGGAGCAGTGGCCCCTCTTTGCGACGAAGGGGATTTGGGGGATCTTGGGTTGAAGGCTTGGGCTTTGAATATAGAAGCCTACAGAAATACCTATACTATTGTAGTTATGATAGAAGGGGCCCCCAAACCCTATTCTAGTTATTGAGGCCCCTACATTAAGGGCTTCAGGTTAGCGTGCCTGAAACCTCAAAGTCCTAAGACTCTTAATGCCGAAAATCCTTCAAACCCCGCAAATCCTAAGCCAGAAACCCCAAAGCCACAAAACCCAAAAGCCCTCAACCCCAAGACCCCCGAACCTCAGATTCTTTGGTCCAGCTTTGCAGATCTTCTGCTTTGACCATTACGTGATGAAAGGGTGTTGAGGATACCCGCTATGTAGGAATCGAGACGCTGGTTGTTCGGAGCCTCGAAAGACTCAACAATTCCTTCAGCTGCATAGGGCTCGGGCAAGCATTTCTAAGAGGGCTCCTTCTTTCGTGGGCCCCCGGTGTCTTCCGAAAAATTACCGGCCCCTCCCATTTACATATTCACCTGATCCTCATGTGGGTAGTTGTCAAAATATAGGTGCCGTATGATAACAAGGACCCAAAAAAAAGGGACCCTAACTTTGACAACCACCCAAGTGGGTAGTTCTTTAAATTTGGGTCCCATTTGGGGTCCTTTTTATAAGGGTGCCGTACTATACTGGGGACCCAAAAAGGGACCCTAATTTAGAAAACCACCCATGTGTTAAAGTGCAAGTTCCAGGATCAACGAGCCCTTCTCGGCAGTGGATGCCATCGGAGCCATGGTTATGCTTTTTATCGATGGGCGGTTTAAAAAAAAGGTGGGTCGGAATGATTAGCAGTCCTATCCCTTGATGGTCCCTATAGCAGCATGATATTGCTATGTCATACTCCCAGTCCCCCTCCTTTCGGCCCTCGCGTTAGAGTTGAGGGTTCGGGCTTCTCTTGCTGGGGTCAGAGTTCACTCAATCGCAGATGTTTGGGGTCTAGGACGTCGAGGAGTCTGCAACTCCTCCGTGTAATGCGCAGCTTGACGCGCCGAAGATAACGATGATATACAGCGATAATACTTCGCATGGTACTTAGAAGCTTTATAGTTAGCAGCAAAGAGCTGGTACTTGTACTACGTGTGATAGCTAAACCCTAAACCCTAAACCCTAAACCCTAAACCCTAAACCCTAAACCCTAAACCCTAAACTGTCAATAAGTTCAGGGTTTGGGGATTCAGGGCCACGTGTTTGGGTGTGGAGATCCATGGTTTCAACTTGGGATGTTGCCGAGTATTTTGGGTGCTATTGCTTCATGGGTACTATTAATATAATTAAACCCTAAACCCTAAACCCTAAACCCTAATATACCTTTACTCTTTATTTCATAAAGCCCCAGGATAACGCCCAGGGAGTTCTTTGCGGGGTCCCGCAAATGGGTTTAGGGTTTAGGGCTTAGGGTTTAGAGTGAAGATTTCAAGATCACGGTCGAAGAGTGCAGCGAAACCGCTTGAGCGTCGCGGGGAAGCTCGCGCAAGAATGCAGAGACCTGCGGAAACCCGTAGTCCACCTGTTGTCACATCTCAGCAGTAGTAGTAGTAGTAGGAGTAGTAGTAGTAGTAGTAGTAGTACCGTGTTGCCCTAAAGAGGCACCTTAAGGATTTCAGGGCGGAAGTTCCTCCCCAAGCCCCCCAAGGCCTTAGACCCTAAAAAACGATAAACTCGACACTCCCAAGTCCAGAACCCTAAATCCAAACCCCTGGCTCGAAATCTCAGCCTAGAAAGAGCCTGAATTGCGGCACCTTCGCGTAGTAAGCTGTTCAAGCCGGTGTCGGTAACCGCAAACCTGGGAACCTGGACGATTCTTACCCAAGCAAAAATCCACATTGGAGCCCAATCACAGAAACCTATGCCTATGCAGATTCTGAAGTCGAAAAGTCCCCGAGCATTTTGAGCTGAACTAGGAATCGGGGATTAGAGTTCAGGGTCGGGGGGCGTAGGGTGGGGTCCAGCAATGAGGGTGTACGACTCAGAGTGGCAAGTTTTGTTTCCAAGATCAGCTCGCTCAGGAGGCGCGTTGGTCATCGGCGCGAACGTGATCAAGGCCGTTACCAGTTTGTGTTGGGGCGATGATCTGGATGCTAGGGATACCTTCCAAAAGAGCACCATGGTGGTTGCAGGGGCTGGACATGAGTCGTGCTGGTGAGCACACGTGAGTTATGGAAGAGCATGTCCAAGCAGTGAATGCGACTTGAGTCAATGTATCCATGACAGTTGCAGCAGTCCGAGTTTGAGTTCACTGATCTTGTGTTGCTGCCGATGCCCCAAACACAAACAGTACGTTCAGGTGCTGCCTGTTGCCGAGCGTAAAGGTGTGGGCTTTAGGGCTTGAGGGCTCAAGCTGTTAGGCATTTGTGCCCCTTGCGCGACGAGGTGTTGGGCTTGTGAGTGATTTGAGGTATCTCTAGCTTTACGCTGGCTTACGGCTTGAGGGCTTCATTAAATGTGTAGATTTCGGTTCCGTCAACACGAGTCAGGGGACACAGTGTTGTGAGGCATCCTGCCGCGTCTTGAATAAATCCACCAAGGCACTGTGTCAAGACCAAGTTCGGAACAGTGACTGATAGCAGACCGCTATAGCCCAATGAAGTTGTGATCCCCAAAAGCCTTTTTGTTTTTCAAAAAAGCTTGATAATTACCTATCTTATTCCGTGGGGTTCCGAACTGTGTTTACACCACAGAATACCCCAGACCCGTTCACGCCTGCAGCTTTAGCTTTGTGAGGAGTTGCCAGACGAGAGCCTCCCTTGGAACACGGCGACGAGAGCGGCGAAGACCGCTGACTGATGCGGCATCGTTCAGAGGGCGGTCCCAATGGTTTTGGCTTGGGGCTCTAGTGACTCTAGTGTTCAGGGTTTAGGGTATGCGCACTCATAGTTTTGGGGGGTAGGGTTTTGGGGAGCAGGGTATGGAATGTAGGTCTATAAGGACTCGGGGTGAGATTTTGAAAGAACCCGAATCCCAACCCTAAACCCCAAACCCTAAACCCTAAACCCTAAACCCTAAACCCTAAACCCTAAACCCTAAACCCTAGTTTAGGGAGTTGGGACTTACGGGTTCCCAGGGCTCTTCGGGAATTTCAGGTTTGCAACAGGGAGCTCGTGCCTAGTGCCATCAGGTTTAGCGGAATGATTCGGAAGCTCACAAGGCCACCTGAGAAACTGCTAAACCCTAAACCCTAAACCCTAAACCCTAAACCCTAAACCCTAAACCCTGCAGGTGAAATCACCTGGCTGCGCCGTCACTAGCGCGACTCTGCAGCTTTGGAAGTCAAGGCACCAGAAAAGAGTGCTCAGGGATACGATTAGCTCTGCTGTGCCGAGCCATAGATTACTCCCGTTGCTCTCCCAGCCTGTCTACTGCCGAAACCGCTTGGGCATCATCACGACCGTGCAGGTGGCCTCTACCACTTGCATGGTAGCGGAGCCGAAAGCTCCAGCACCTTAGAGCCGCGATCCAGGGACCAGTGAACATCAAGCGCGAGGCCCTTGATGACTACGAGTGGAGGAGGAGACGGACCAGCACGGTCAAAGGATGGAGTTCCCCAGTGGGACGGCAACAGCGCTACGTTCCAGAGATACGAGGAAGAAGCGCTGCTATGGCAGGAGGGGATTGCTTACCACAAGAGGTACATGGCAGGGCCACGACTGGTGGCTGAGCTTCAGGGCTCGGCAAAGCGGATGGTCGTGGGAAAATCGGCAAACTGGGTTTCCTACTCAGGGGGCGTGGAAGTCCTCATGAGGCATCTCCGTGACTGCCTCGGGAGACCACAGGTTGCGGAATTGACTGAGTACCTCAATCAATATTTCCGGCATTCACGGCGCCGGAATGGTGAGTCAATCAATGAGTACGTGACCCGGAAGAGCGAGATCTATATGAGAGCACAGCAGGCCCTTCACCGGGTCAAGCCACACCAGGCCAGCGACTCACCGTGTATCCCGCGAAGCCGGGTACCCGGGACACCGTCGCAGCAGCTGGACTTCGGAGACCACGACCACAGCAACGAATAAAGAGACGAGGACGAGGCCGAAGCCTCAACAGAAAACACCCAAAACCCGAGTTGGGATGCTAGCAGCTCCTACAGCGGATGGGGTGGCATGGGAGGCTACTGGAATGGAGCCCCGTACTCCAACTGGTGGTCATCGTCTACGTGGAACTGGGCGGACAGTCGGTCCTACAGCGAAGCAGGAGCCACACCCGGCTTGTGGAATGGCCCCAGGGCAGGACAGACGGAGCTCCTGCCAGAGTGGGTGCAAGCCTGGTACCTGTTACAGGATGCCAACCTTAGCACCGGAGAGCGCAACATGATCTTCACGGCACTGAAGGGGGAATTCAGTGTCTTGAAAGTGGCCCAGGAGCTGAGGAACCAGTGGACGGAGACGGATCTCAAGAAGAGGGACCAGCACTATAAGGGCTCAGGCTTCCTTGGCGAGGCCGGTGAGGACGAGGACAACGAGCCGCAGGAGGCCTGGCAGGCTGGCGAGCACAGCGAGTACGATGCGGACTTGAATGACGAGGGTGTCGCCCTCGTCGCGGAGGCCGAGGACGAGTCGCCAAGCGTGGGCCACCCTGCAGACAGCAAAGCGCACCTTGAAGGATGCACGGCAGCGCCAGCATCAAGTACGGATGTCCAGGAAGTACTACCAGAGTGGTGGCAGCAGCTCTCAGGCCGGACCTCGGCCACGGGATGACTCGAGAATGACATGTCTCAAGTGTGGCCAGATAGGCCACAGGGCAGCTAACTGTCAGCAAGAGAAAGCACATGTGGCCGAGGACCAGTCGGCGCCATTCGTCTGTTTCGCAGAACAGGCGCTCCTCGGTGGCCAGGAGAGCGGCGGTCATGTTCCCACCACGACAGAGGCTGTACAGGCCGGGTGGGGCGTCATCGACGGGGGCGCGATGCGCACCTTGGGATCGGTCAAGGCCATCGAGGCGGTCATGAAGGTCAATGAGGGCAAGCACGGGACAACTGGGGTCAAGAACGTGGACCTCAAGAACCGTCCTGTGTTTGGTTTTGCGGACTCCGGTGAAGCCAAGTGTGTGTCAACAATCGACTTGGGACTCCAGGCGGGAGGCCAGGAGGGAATGCTCCGAGTGCATGCCCTCAACAAGGGCTCGGGGCCCATACTGGTTTCCGTGGCTAAGGGTTGTCAATTGGGACTTCGGGAAAAGGTTGAGGGAAGATTGCTTCAGTGGGGCTGGACGGTGATGTCTAGTCACAAACGTCTTGTGGAACAGCTGGATCTTCCGTGTCGCTGCGGTAAAAGCTACCAGCATGGCCGTTGCGAAGGACATCGCAACCCCGGTAATGTAGACTACACCGAAGCCTACGCTCACCGCGCGGCAGAAAGTCTGAGCCAGGAGTTCAGTTACAGCTCGTTGCTTCAGGAGAGTGAGGGGCAGAGCTCTCTGCCCGAGGACTTTGGAGTAGGAGAGGTTTGTACCTGTGGGGAGAGTAAGATCCATGATTTCCACATGACTTGCAGCAACTGTATCAGTGGTAGGGAAGAGTTAAAAGAACAAGAACCAGAGATCACAGGCCCCGACACAACACAAGGTTCCGGGCCTCAGGAGTTGAAAGAGCAAAGCATGTACACACAAGGTGAAAGGCAACAGGTGGAGGAAGTAGCCGGACAGCTCATGAAAAAGAAGATGTATGCCATTCAAGATATTCAACCTTTGCTGGAAGTGATGTCCAAACTTCGTATTGGTAGGACACGCGGCATGGTCCCAGGGACTCAAGGCTCCTATCATGCGTTTGGAATGTATTCACATGGCAGGAATTATGGCATTACCAACAAAACTCATGAGTTTCCTCAGATCACTGCTTATGTGAACCAATGGCTTCGTAGGAACCTCCCCAAGGGAGCCAAGTGGACTTCCTTTGTTCTCAGCGCTAACAACAGAATGCCTATTCATCGGGACAACCACAACGACGCGAGCCATAGCAACTACGTAATCGGAGTAGGCCAATACAAAGGGGGCGAGTTATGGGTGGAAACCCCACCCGGGTACTCGGGCCTTGACGCCTGCGCTCAGGAGTCACTGGATGGCACGGTCCTACTGGACAGGCGACCGCTACACAGTAGCAGCGTACGTGAGCCGAGGCGGCAGGGTGGTTGAAGATGAGTTGCTTGAGGAACTTCGGTCGGTTGGGTTTGGATGTCCTGAGGGTCCTTCTGAGATGCTTGAGCAGGGCTTGGTGATTCAGAGGACGGGACAATGGAAGCGTGCTCTAGGAGGTGTGGATAGGCGTTTTGATGAACGTATCAAGAAACAGCTGTATCTTCTACACGCGGCTACGGGGCATGGGAGCACACGACATCTGGTGGATGCCTGGCGTCGAAGAGGAGCCTCAAACAGGGTTTTAACTTTGGCAAGGGAGTTTCAGTGCTCAGTGTGTCATGAGAAGCGTCGCATAGGTCATCGTCACATGTCCACTCTGGAACCACTTCCCCCAAGATGGAGCACCATTTCCGCTGATGTAGGACATTGGGTTCACCCTCAAACCCACGAAAAGGTTCAGTTTATGGTGATTGTGGATGAGTGTTCCAGGTTTAGGGCTGCGAGAATCTTGACGACAGGGTCGAAACAACAACCAACTGCTATGGCGTGTCTCAGCTATCTTCAGGAAGGTTGGATGCAGTGTTTCGGAAAGCCCCAGGTTCTTAGGCTTGATCCCGCTGGGTCCTTCCGAAGCCAACATGTGGAAAGCTTTTGTGATAGGCACAAGATTTTCCTGGAGATTATCCCCGGTGAAGCCCATTGGAAACTGGGGATCTGTGAACAGGCTGTTCAGGGATTGAAGGAAGTTATGACGAAGACGTGTTTGGGGGAAGAGGGCATTAACCCCGAAGAAGCACTTGCCACGGCAGTCATGACGTTCAATCATCGGGATATTGTCCGAGGTTTCTCTCCTGTGCAGCATGCGCTAGGCCACAACCCTGACCAAGTAGGTCCTGTGATGGAAGTGATTAACCAGGCCCCCGTGTCCATGCTGTGGGAAGACCCCCAAGGAGAGGTGGAACGTGCCTCAAGATTAAGAGCGGCTGCAGAGGGCGCGCATGCATCTTGGATCGCACGCCAGAGAATTGTCCGGGCTCAAAACTCCAAGGGCCAACCTGTTCTCGATTTCCAACCGGGTGAGTTAGTGTATCTATGGAGAGCACAGACTGGCCAACAGGGTCGCCGACAACCGGGCGACAAACATGGCCAGTTCATAGGTCCAGCGAGGATCCTGGCCACTGAAAAGAAGAAGGATGAATCCGGACACCTGGTGCCCGGAAGTTCGGTGTGGCTCGTCCGAGGGAGGAGCTTGATAAAGTGCTGTCCGGAACAATTGCGGAGAGCCTCTGAGAGGGAGGAGCTCCTGGAGATGCTCGCTAAGCCAGAGGACCGAACGCCCTGGTCATTCCAGAGAGTAGCGGCGGAGATCGGCGGCAATCAGGTCAAAGACTACTCACAGCAACGCCCCACGCCACCAGAGTGGCATGGTGCACAAGATGTGGAAGAGACAGCGCCGCCTACGCGAGTCCGCTTTCGAGGCAAGAGGGCCCAACCGGAAGCCATGGCAGAGCCTATGGAGGAGGACGAGGAGCATCGCTCACCAGCTTCAGCAAGCTCAAGCCGAGCTCGGCTGGAAAGTGCACAGGGCTGTGGTTGGCAAGCAGCGGAAGCCTGGTGGGCATCCGTGCCGGACCAGGAGTGGGAGCCAAAGCCTGCGGACGCAGCAGTTTCCGTGGAGATTGAGCTTCCCACCAACGTGAGAGGACTACAGAAGACACTACATCAGCTGCCCTCCTACTTTGTGGGAGCCATGAAGCGAAGGGCAATTGAGGTCTGTGAGCGAAAACTGTCGCCGTCCCAGAAGGAGGAGTTCCGAGCGGCAAAGAACATCGAGGTCCGCAATTTTATAGCATCGAAGGCCTTCCAGGTGCTCCCGGAGGAGTTGAAGCCAAGCCGGGAGCAAGCCATCAATATGAGGTGGATACTAACTTGGAAGTCCACCGATTCAGGTGGCCAGAAGGCTAAAGCAAGAGCTGTGCTATTAGGGTACCAAGACCCTAAATACGAACACCGATCGACCACAGCCCCCGTGATGACGCGTCAGACGCGTCAAATGCAGTTGCAATTGTCCACCAACCGCGGCTGGACGGTGCAAAAAGGAGACGTGTCTGGAGCGTTTTTACAAGGCCGAGAATACCCGGACCAGTTGTTTTGCATTCCGTGCAAAGAAATCTGCGAAGCCATGGGGTTACCAGAGGGAACTATTACACGCCTTCGGCGTGCCTGCTATGGACTTGTAGACGCACCACTGGAGTGGTACAGAACCGTGGACGAGTACTTAGGCGAGTTGGGACTCGAGCGGACACATGCCGACGCATGCGCATGGGTCTGGCGTCCCAATGGAGAGCTACGGGGCATGATATCAGGTCACGTCGACGACTTCTTGTTTAGCGGAGGAGCTGAGGACGCTGACTGGCAAGCCTTGTTGGAAAAGATCCGCCAACGGTTCAAGTGGGGAGACTGGGAGCAAGACAAGTTTGTGCAGTGTGGCGTGCATGTTGAGAGGACAACAGAGGGTTTCTTACTGAGTCAGCCGACGTACCTGGAAGGGGTTAAGGAGATTCCACTTTCTTCCAGTCGCCGAAAGATGAAGGATGCTGCTACCGGGGAGCGAGAAAAGACGCAGTTGAGAGCCCTTCTAGAGGGTCTCTCATGGCACGCCCAACAAGTAGCACCACACTTGTCTGCTGAGGTACGCCTCCTGCTCTCAGAAATCTCCGAGAGCAATGTCAACACGATCATCAAAGCTAATCTCCTGGCCCATCACGCAAAAGCCCGCCAGGACCATCAGATGTTGATACACCGCTTCTCAGCTGAGGAACCATTGGCATTGTTTGGCTGGGTGGATGCGGCGAGCCAGAATCGCCGCGAAGGTGGATCGACGCAAGGGATTTTTATAGGCATGGGCCCTGCGAACATGTTGCAGGGCGAGATGGGACGAGTGACACCCATTGCATGGCATTCCAATAAGATAGACAGGGCTTGTAGGTCACCAGGTGCGGCAGAGGCGCAAGCTGCTGTTAACGGGGAAGATGCACTGTATTTTGCCCGTTACCAATGGAGTGAGTTGTGCTTTGGGAATGTGAATCTGCGTCATCCCGATGAGACGGTCGCTAAGGTCACTGGATGACGGACTCCAGAAACGTTTATGATAAGTTGTACACTGAGGTGCTTGTCATAAAAGGGGCGGAAAAGCGCACCAACATTGAGCTGCTGGCCATCAAGGAGGCTCAAAGGAACCACGGGGTGCTCATCCGCTGGGTACATTCAGAAGCACAACTTGCCAACGCGCTCACGAAGCATGGCAGTAAAGAGCTGGAATTGTACTACCGTCTGCGCCACGCATGGCGCATTGTGGAGGACCCCGACATGATGTCTGCTCGGAGGAGGAAGNNTGCAGGTGAAATCACCTGGCTGCGCCGTCACTAGCGCGACTCTGCAGCTTTGGAAGTCAAGGCACCAGAAAAGAGTGCTCAGGGATACGATTAGCTCTGCTGTGCCGAGCCATAGATTACGCCCGTTGCTCTCCCAGCCTGTCTACTGCCGAAACCGCTTGGGCATCATCACGACCGTGCAGGTGGCCTCTACCACTTGCAAACCCTAAACCCTAAACCCTAAACCCTAAGAGCATTGGGCAGAGGGCGAGCATGGGAACCAAGGGTTCGGGGGCTTAGAAGGTCTTGAGAACCAGCGGTCATGATAGGTCGCAGTCGACGTGACAACCGCAGATCGACTGTGCTTGTAGCCTAAAGTAGGGCCTATAGTATAAAAGCTCCGAGTCTCAAATCTAAGTTAGCGAACACTTGTATCGCCAAAGATACGTCACTGACTTCATGTCTTTTGCTGGGACCGCCACCTCTGGTCGCCAAGCAGCGGCCACAATCCTCTGTTCCACACTCTTGCAAGCGCAGAGTGCTCCTTGTTTAACATGGGCTCCTGTCGCAAAGAAACTGCACTAACCGGGTAGTATACTCGTACATAATGTGTGTGTGTGTGGTTGTATGTATGGACGTATGTATGTATATATGTATGTATGTACGTAGGTAGATAGGTAGGTAGGTAGGTAGGTAGGTATGTATGTGTGTATATATACAGTCTAATTCTATTCATTTATCTCGGTCGACATAGACGTCGAATATAAACATGGAAAAGTATGCAGTCTGTGTGTCCACACGTGTGCTCGCGAATATATTTCGAGTCTTCGAGTCTGGCTCCCTGTAACAAAAATGTTTTTTTCATATGTAAGTGTTGATGATTCATTGTTAGATATGTCCGCGTATACGTGCCGGTACTTACATGTACATGTGTGTATATATATATATCAAACTCTATATACGCTTGTTCTGCTCATGCCTGTTCGTGTGCGTGTATGCAAGTATGGAAGTCTACGTTTGTAGCTGTATGTCTGCACGTGTGCATGTCTGCGCCGGTAAGTAAGTAAGCAGGCAGGTAGGTAGGTAGGCAGGCAGGGAGGTCGGTAGGTCGGTAGGTCGGTAGGTAGGTCGGTAGGTAGGTCGGTAGGTAGGTCGGTAGGTAGGTCGGTAGGTAGGTCGGTAGGTAGGTAGGTAGATAGATAGATAGATAGATAGGTAGGTGCTTATGTGTGTCGTAAGCCTAGCTTGACCCAGTCCTGCAAGCCTCCAGAGCTTGCGTTAGCGCACGCATGTGCAAGCACGATACCAGAATTGTCAGGAAGTTGATGCGTCAATGCCCTAAACCTAAACCCAAACCGGTCCGTAGAGGCTGGAGCTTCTCGTAAAGGGGAGCCGTTACACATTCAACGAAAACCCAAGCCCTTAGTGGCGAAAGGCCAAGACAGGCAGGGGCTCAGATGTTTGGCGTGCGGAGCACGTGCCACTTCTTCCAGGCCATCCATGCCGCGGTACAGATGTGAGTTGATGAGGATTGCTGTACTGTTTCAATGTTATTCTCAATCTTACGCTTCTTGTTGCTAGCATTGTCATCCTCATTGTAATCTTCCAGATTCTGCCGTCTATTCGTTCAGGGGTTACGGTTTTAGGGTATAAGTCTACGGGCTTGTCGGATCTTGCGATTCTTATGATTAGGGCTTCCTTTGTAGCCATTGTGAAATACAGAGCCCTGTCGAGCCTTTCTTACGTGGGTGTCTCAGGCCCCAGCTACTCATATGGGGGTTTCCGAAAATAGGGGACCCTAATATAGCACCGCAAATAATAGGATCCTTAATATAAGGACCCCAAAACAAGGTACCCCTAATTTTCGGAAACTCCCATATGAGCTGGATCCCTTGCACCAGACTCGCTAGTCACCCGCTAGGCTTTTGTGTGGTACTTGATGGTACTTGTTATGGTAAGGCGATTTCGACTATAGTCTATAAGCCTACGCAGCTTCTTTGCCATCCTTTGACCCGGTAAGAGGCTTGTGCGCTATAGGCCCCAAGAAGCAAGCCCGCAACCAAAGCCCGAAAGCCGTGATGCCTTACTACTGGTGCGACAGTCCTAAGTGCTACGGCCCAAAACCTAAACCCCAAACCCTAAACCCTAAACCCTAAACCCTAAACCCTAAGCCCTAAACCCTAAACCCTAACAGACCCGAGACCCTAACTGAAGCCCTTAAGACCCGAAGCCGCACACCCCGAAAACCCGGGAGTTCTGAAGGCCGGACTCGGTGCAGAGTCTGTCAGGTTCTCATGTTTTAAGAGTTGTAGGGTGCACCTCAGGCCCAAACCCTAAACCCTAAACCCTAAACCCTAAACCCTAAACCCTATACCCGAAGCCTTTTTGGGTCTGGGGCGCAGCTTTCCTTTTCTAGACTGTTTCGGGCTTCGGGGCTTTGACTTGGCGACTTTGAAAGCGCCAGCACCTGACCGGGCAAGTGGCCCCAGCGGTGTCTCGAAAACTTATTTTGTCGAGATAATGTTGGGACATGCCGTTGAAGCCAACCGGCTCACACTTGGCATGCAATACCTTGGGGCTTCCGAAAATGGTCGAACAACCTCTGTCCTACACCTCAAAACTAAAGCCGACGACCCTTGCGACGCATAGGACCAACGCCCCAAGATGTTTTGATTAGGCCGCTGAAGCCCTAAACACTAAAGCACTAAGCCCTATGTCCAGAATCCCATGCCGTAAGCCTGCACCATACTTCCTATAGGGACCCGTGGGGTTGTAACATGGAGGAATGTTCTCGGACCTCGAGCCTTGCACAGATGTGCTACAGGGGTTCTTACGCGGCTTTAAGGGTTTAGGCTCCTTAGGCTCTAGGCCCACAAAAGGGTGCAACAGCTGTCCCCAATTGTCCCTACAGTCTTTGAGACTCGGTTCAGGTTGATCAGTTGTGGAGATGCTCAATGGTCGCCTTTATTACTCGATGAAGTCACGATTTCCCGCCATGCTGTCTTCTATGCCTCATATATAGAGGTCGGAATAATTGAAGATCACATCAACATCCCGATGCAGTGCCCATATAGTTATACAAACGCGCCCGCCCGAAATCTGATATTCGAAGCTCTGTCCCTTTGGGTTGATTTTTAAGGCCATTGAATAGGTGCTGTTTTGGGAGACAAGTTTTGGAAGCCTCCGACACGATTTCTGGCAGGTTCGGTGATCAGGGCCCGGCCGAAAGCCAAATTGCCAAAAGCAACCTTTACACCGAACCCTAAACCCTCAACACTAGAACCCTAAACGCTGAACCCCGAACCGGAAAAGGCTTGAATCCTAACACCGGAGACGCTACACCCTGGAGCCCATAACCCTACAGTACCCCAAACCCATCTCTCTCTCTCTCTTTCTCTCTGTCTCTCTCTCTCTCTCTCTCTCTCTCTTTCTCTCTCTTTCTGTCTTCTCTTCCCCCTCCCCCCTCCCTCCCTTGCCCCCCTCTCTCCCTTCCCTCCCCTCCCCTCCCCCTCCCCTCCCCGCCCTAAACCCTAAACCCCAATTGTCTCAAGAACGACCTGGCCGGATCTGCTTAGCGCCCCGCTCTGGGACGAGCCCAGTCCTGTCGTCTCTGACTGCAACGCGGGGGGGGGTGAACGGTGTGGGCAGCACTTCCGCCGTGGTGCTTTTTTAGGGTTCCGAGATGCATGATTTCAGGGCTTTAAGATTTTAGGGTTTAGGGCTGAGGGTTTAGGGTTGAGGTTTCAGGGCTTTAAGATTTTAGGGTTTNNGTTTGGGGCTTTGGGTTTAGGATTTTTTCATGGAGCTGAAACGTCGATTTTGTGGCAGGGTTGCATGTTGGTTTTTAAAGAGACGTTTATGGCGCACCTCAACTCTGTTTCCAATGTAGGTTTTTCGGGTTTCGCCCTTGAGCCCGAAATCTTAAAACCCTAAACCCGATCTTGTGGAATTGAAACTCAGAGCTCGAAGTCCTGAAGCTTTTAACCCAAAGCCGCCAAAAACTGTAAACCCGGAAGCCCAAGCATAGGGGACTCCCCTTATGGTCGCCAGTTTAGTTCAGTTTAGTAAGCGATGCTATAAACGAAAACCTGTTCCAGTTATTGGGACCCCTTTTCAACCTTGCAGCCCTAGAAAGGGAAGGCTTGACGCCTGCTGCGTTCAGCGCGTTGCGGTGGGGGAGGGGGGCTCTTGTGATGGGCCGGATGCCTAGCAAGCCCTGTGGCGTCCGTGGAGGGCGCGAATCTCAGGGTGCGTGGGCCGGCAAGCAGGGGTTTTTGGGGGCTTGGGGACATTTCGGTTCAGCGTTGAAGCTGGCAATTATTTTGCTGCAGTTGACACTCCGACTCCCGATGCCCTGAGCAGATTCTCTTTTTGGTTGCTAAAGCCCTGCTACCCTCAAGATGCAGTCATCCGATACTCTCGACCCTTGCACCTGAAATCCTTGTTCTCGCAATCATAACGACTACCTAAAAGCCGGACTTTGGCTCGAATCTCGAAGCCCAAATCAGGAGGCCTACATTGCAGCGCCGTAACCTTTCCACCCTACATGACTTAGGAGTTGTAGCATAAGTCGGAGCTTCGGTGATCTTGAAATACCACTACTCTTAATGTCATTTTACTTATTCCGT